GCTCATGACGATGAGCTGGGCTGTCACCGCTTGGCCGCCGGTGGGGGGTTTGGGAGGCCGCATCACACACAGACACCCACGCACTGCCTCAACTTACACGAGCACACACACATACGCAGACTCATATACACACGGACATAGATACACACACAGAAACCCACACGCTACCTCAACTCACTCGACTTAACACTTCACACTGCACACTTAACAGATAACTCGCACTCTGACTTCCTACGTGATGAAAAATGCTTTCGGGCCACTCGTCGTCTAGTTTCCTTTTCCTCGTCCTCTGACCGAGCGAAGCGGGGTGTTGCATGCCACAGCATCGGGCGAATGAAAGAGGGCGAATGAAAGCGTTTCAAAGCTGGTCACGGGTGGTAGAGTTGCATTCGAGAAGAGCAGGGTCACCATGTTTCTTCAGGTGAAGTCGCTCCAACATCTGAAAAAGGGATGGTCCAGTGCTCTCTGTGTCCCACTCTTTGGCATCGCGACCCCAACACTGAGTCGGTTTAGCTGCGAGGAGTGCGCGGCGCGGACTCGGCCCAGTCGAAGGCTGCGGAACCGCGGCGGACAAGCCTACACTGAGATATAGGTCTCCATTGGACACCCCATTGGAAGTGCTAGGTGGGTTGGTCCTGCTAGGTGGATACAAATCCAAAAAAGGAACGTAAATGTGTCCGCTCCACACCGTGTTTGTAACTGCTAGGTGCTACACGTGACAGGAACCAGGGGGTCCTCGATCTAAACGTGGATCCTCAGTCCTTCTGTAGAGACACTGATCGACGTGGAGTCTTCAACGGTACCCCCAGTCCAAACGACCTGAGTCCAGACACAAAAGCTATGTGGGCTAAGTAGCAAGGTTATCGCTACGAACGTAGCTAATTTGCTACTAGTAGTAATGCCCTTGTTGCTAGTAGCAATGCCCTTGTTACTACTAGCAAGGACGCTATAATGCTCGTACCCTTTTTCACTCTCACGTCAGTCGCTGTGCCACCTCTCTTTGCCCTCCTCGTACCTCCCTCACGTCGCGTCCTGAGGAAGAATTCCCACGAGGCTCTCCTGATCCGTCGGCGGCCCCAGATGTCACATCTGATTTCGCTGAATGTCGGAAAGAAAATGCCAGGAACCCACTCTTTCTACCACTCCTCTCAGTATCTGTTGTTTCCTTCGTCTTTGTCCGTTCTCCCAAAACGAACCGACCGCCCACCCACCGGACAGCGACCCCACCGAGGCCTCAAGAGCCGCGCGGCGCGCCTGGAGGCGGAGAAGCACCGAGCCTTGGATCAGCGGAGACGTATCGCCTGGAGCACCACGCGCCCGTGGCGGATCGGGGGGTGGAAACAGGAGGCTAAGGCTAACTAAGTAGCGGAGTAACAAAGGGGATCGCTACGAACGGAGCAAGGACGCTAGCATAGTAGCTAATTTGCTATTAGTAATAATGCCCTTGTTACTAGTAGTCATGCCCTTTGCTACAAGGGTGGGGATGTCCTGCTGCGAGAAGGCTGGTCTTTCTGCACATGTCGACCCCGTCGATTCTTTGGTCACCCCGTCGACCCCAAGATCGACACCGCCTTCCGTTCGGTCATTCAAAGATCAAAAGGAACGGTTCACCTGGAATTCTGTTGTAAAGTCCTTCGTAATACCATGGTTGTTCGCAATGTTCAGCCTATTCAATCAATTTGGAGGGCCAGGAATCCTCCCAGAAAGCGTCCACATGAATCGGGGGAGACCCCGCCTCGTCGCTGGACAGAGCTCGTGTTCTGCTCCAAGGAGACTTCATCCATAGCTATTGGCAGAGCATCTGGGCAGGAAACAGAACAAGCTTGCAGCTGTGAAATATGTGAAATATGGAGAAAACACATGAAAACAGAGATTGGCACAAGAAAGAAAATGTGTTGGACCTGCTTCCGTCCATGATCCGGAAGTCCTGTAGAAACCCGCGAAGATAGAGTGCAAGTCTGTTCGAGCAGATATTGCTTTGGAAGTCCACCAAGTTGGGGACTTGTTCTTTGCCTTCTGCCTGTTTGAACATCTTCAGTAACGACTCCGATTTGTGAAAGGCTGCCATTCCTTTTGTCCGTCTCCGGCTCCCAAGGCATGTACGCTGACGATGATAGTCCAAGACCTCAGAGAAGGACCTACACTGGACAGACCTTGGCTCCAAAAGCTCAGTCATTTTCGGCCATGTTTGTCGCCTGTGGGTGTTCAAGGTGCCTCGGCGAAAAAGACTCGGTCTGAGTCCTGACAGTTTCGTGACTTGTTTCTGAAACACTTCCTTTGGCCAATTTGGCTTTGTGGATCCACGCTTGGGATTGGTGTGATCTGAGTTACAACGAAAAGGCTTGACATTGGACCAAGGACACCAACAAAAACGGACCCAAAACGATCCACCGAAATTCGGCAGTTCTACTGCAAGAGCTGATCATCTATGATCAAGAAGAAAAGCGGTCGCCAAGCAAGCTGGCTGCGCCGTTCGGTGGCTTCAGCCAGCTCCATTCACCGCCTCACCGAGGTACCCTCTCGGATGCACATCTCGATAGCTTGCTGACGGCGGGGTTCGAAGTGGGCAGGGTTGAACACATGGTGTTTAACACATGACATGGGAGATGGATATAGATAGATCAATTGTGGTAGCACATCTGGGAGATGCTCTCAGATATGTGCAGCTTCGCACTTCTGGGTGTGTATTACACTGGAACTGGAAGGGTTCGGAAATTAGACCATCCATTGGTGGAGGGGATCCCTATTAAAATACAAAGCCACGTCTTATGTGAATTTATGGTCTACATGTGCTGGTGAGGGGTTCATTTGATGATTTCCGAAGTCCAAGAGAAGGCCAATTGGTAAACGAACTCCATGAAGCCAGGAAGCACTGAAAATGCATTTTTTTATTGGATGTTGTTTTTGCAATATCCTTGTTTTGACTTTATAGACTACTAATAATTAGATCCGTGTATCAGACGACTCCCCTGACCCTGGTGGGTGACGGGCCTCGGCCGGCCCCAACCCATCAGGGCCTCGAGAAGAAGTCGGAGGAATTGAAGCTCCGGTCAGAGGACCTCTGTGGGACGGTCCCACCACCACCAGCCGGAGGGGCACGAGAGTGAAAACGGTCTCCGTGACAAGGGAGACGGGACGGGAGGTCCATTGGGTTTCGATGGAGGTTGCAGCTCCAAAAATGTGTTTTCTGGGTGGGAGCACCAAACCCCTGGGTGGTTTTTCACTTGGCACTCACAACATCCGGTCCCTGGCCCTGCATGGGCTCTTTGTTTTTTGCGTGTACGGAACCCTCGGCAACCAGTGACCAGGGCGAAACTCGCACGGGTTCGATGCGTCCCAAAACACTCGAGGCGTCCCCGGCTGTCCCAGTTCTGCTCACCTCCGACCGTCCGTCGTCCACGCGACGGACGTTCGGGCGGTGCGAAGAGAACGGATCGAAGGAGCTTCAACTGGAAGCCAAGGAGGCAGAGCGGAGGCAGAGCGGGCGAACAGCAACACGACGCATTCCTTCACGCGCGGTGCAGAAGGGGTCGGCTCTCGGGTGCTTTCGGGGGTGCAAAAACCTCTCGGTGTTTTGTTTGGGGGGGACTCACTAGCAAGCCGGCCGGTTGCGTTTGAACACATTCTGCGTTTCTCTCTGTCTCAAAACGGGTGTTTTCGTTGGTCTTCCGGGCGGGGGAAGAACACGGTGTGGCTCCGAGTTGGAGAGGAGTTCGTCGTTTCCGGTGTTAGCTTCGTTTCAGGCTTCGGCCACCCAGCAGCTGAGTTGGTCACGTTTGCAATGACCAACTTGACCTGGCAGTAACGATGTTTGGAAGACCCCCCAGTCACGCTGGATAGCTGGGGTGCAGCGATGGTGCTTCTTGGACGAGTAAGTGCTTCGTTCTCCAACCGCCCAACCGCTCTTTTGGACACCCGCGCTTTTGGTGCGGAACACTCCTATGAAGCAAGCCGAAGCCCGCCTTCTGGATTCCGCGAAGGCTGGAACACGTGAACTCCCTCCACTTGGGCCGTGCTTCGGATTTAGAGCTGCAGGCGGCCAATGGTTCGGGAACAAAAGCGGGTCGCAGCTTGCTGTTCGGTGGATGGGAGTGGGGAGTGGGGAGTCATCTTCTCCGCAAGTTGCGCGCTTTTAGGAGGACAAAACGCGAGATACACCATCCTAAAGCATCACATGGGGTAGCCGAAAGCACGGGAAAGCATGGGGTTGTTCATGAGTCATAAGAAGAACTTGTTTTATCCTGCATCCACTTGCGCGGTTGATGTTGGTTCTGGTCGGCAAGACAAACACGGCTCTCAATGGAGCAGTCTAAGAACACCGTTCAGTAAGGTCCAATGAGAATCAAGCAGCCCTAAGGATCCTTGGACCCTGCTTAGAAGGGGTCGAACCCTCTATAACAAGGGTTTGTACCTCAAAACCCTTGTTTTTGAGGGAGCGGATCCTTAGGGAGGCACCTTTACCTAAGGCTCTAAGGCCCTCTATACGTAGAAAAAACCAGACCGTGAGCGCGTGTTGCCGCCGCGGACTGTTCTGCATGGCATGGAGACGACTCACCGGTCCCAGGTAGGTCACGACTCACAGGGCCACGATCCATTTCCGGTCAACTATCCAGTCTCAGACGAGACGTCGGGAAGTACCAAAGGATACCAAAGGGACTTGAGTCCAAGTTGCCACTTGGTCCACCCCCATCACAACCGTTCCCATCCACAGCACGGGAAAAAACCAAGAAGGCACGGCGCCGAAGCGAGCGCTGTGCCGCGCGCGGCCAACGGCGCCGTCGGTGCCAGGCGATGAACGCTTTTGAGCGCTCGCAGCGGCGGATTCAAGAGGACTGGTGGCGGTGAGTGCGGTGAGGCGAAGAACTGATGAGTAACGGTTTTCGGTGAGGCGGTTTGGGCAGTGTGAGGAAACGGATGGAAGAGTGTAGTTGTGTGAACTGATGAGCACTGAAGCAAACTGGAAGTCAGACATCAGGGTGTTCTTTGAGGGCATCCCTTTGTTCCATCAAAAGGGGGCAACAAACTCGGAAGTGGAACAAAAACCGACAGTCTGCAGGGGCACTGGGCACTCTGAAGGGTCCCTGTATGGATACTGATCCTCTCGATCGGAGCCTCCTTGGAAGAGTGGACTCTTTCCGCAAGGTCACGCCACGGGTTGGGCGGTCGCACCAGGACCTGTGTCCTTTGCCCCAAAGGGAAGCACATCGGAGAGCTGGGTGCTTCTTGTTGCTAGCGATGGCCTCCAACCTACAAGCAATGGCCTCCACCGTGCGTAGCTTCTTGCTTCCCGAGAATTACGTATGGTTTCAGATATGTGTGTTTTCCAACCGAAATCCTTGGATATCCTTGGGATGATTGAACCCACTGACTAACATGTTTTGTTCGTGAGTTGAAACCACCAACCAGAAGCACTTCAGTTTGGGGGAGACCTCCATTCGCCTCCATTCGAGGACCAGAAGAGACACATGTCCCTGGAACTCTCTTCAAAGCACCCCCGGCAAACGCAGGAAATCGCGGGAAATCACCGGTGGATCTTTTCGTAGCACCGAGTTCCCTCAGAATGGCCGAGTTCCCGGTTTGTGTGTTCCCAACCCGGCCTCTTCGATGACTCAGGACAAGAGGGAGGAGGAATACCAGAAGCAACGCGATGAAGTGCAGGCGCTCTTTGCCAAGGTGGGCCGCAGGGTGCAGGGATGTTCCAGGGTGTCCGTTCGACGAGAGGAATTCGCTGCGCTGCTTTGACCTGTTCGACACGGTTGTGGTGAACTTTCAAAAAGGGGTGTAGGACAGCTTGGGAGGACTTGAAGGACTCACAACTCATAAAGGAACTCGAACCTTGGTGACTGCCAGTGATAGTCTTACATCCCAACTCACCCGTTTGATCGCCGCGGCAACCCGGTCACGGCCGACTTTGGGTGCCCGGTCAGGTCCACCGACGGCTGCAGAGTGAGCTCATCGAGTTGAGAGATTACAAGGTGCGAAAAAGGCAATAAACGCAGCGATCAAGGCGTTTTTGCGTCCATCATGAGACGTTGTTGTTTCTCTTTTTAGCCCGTGGCCCTGCCTCCTTACTTGATTAAGTAGGCACCTACTTAATTCAGTAAGGGAAAAACTTGTTCGATTTCAGCCACTTAAGCTGCTACCTACTGGACGCAGGATAGCTCACGCTTCTTCAAGGAAGCTCACCCCGCTTGAGGGCGGGGGAGAGCTTCCTTGAAGAAGCACTCGGACTAATGATTTGGTTTCTCGCAGCGTCCCTTGTTCCTAGTAGCGATGCCAGGAGCCCCTAGTAACGTCCTTGCTCCTAGTAGTACGGCCAGGAGCCCCTAGTAGCGTCCTTGCTCCTAGTAGTAAGGCCAGGAGCCCCTAGTAGCTTCTTGTTACTAACTTGTGATCGAACTGGATCTTGCTTGGCCCGCAACGCCTCATGCGCAACGTCTGTCATCTTCGTGCGCAACGGTGCGGTTAATGAGCACATGGGATGTCAACATCCTGTTCTTCTTCGCATCCAGCGTGGTCATCCCCGGACCCACCTGGACTGGACCGTGGCCACCCAGGGAGGGAGGTGGCGTCGCCTTCCCAAGGACGCCACGCAAAGGGCGCCTTCTCTTGTGTTTGTGTGTTTCTCTCTCTCTCTCTCTTTCTCCCCCCCCCCCAATTCGCTCACGAATTGGACCCTCCAGCGGATCCGACGAAGGCCCATGCGTTCGGTCGAGGTGCTGCTGCGCGAGTACCGCCGGGTACGGCTGGAGAAGCTCAGCGAGACCTTGGGGAAGGTCCAGGAGCGTGTTTTGCTTCGAGAACGCGCAAGATGAGCACCGAGCGAGGTGAAACGTGGATCATCTTTTGCCAAACTTCTTGGGGAGAAGATTGGTTTCATCTATACACTCCGACTCATTCACATCTAAGTGGAAAACCTCCTGTTTGTAAAGGAAAGTAGTCTTCCAAGGGGTCATTGTTCACTTCCATGTTAGTGAGTCAGAGAGTAGTTTCCGGAGATCTCTCGAGATCTCCGGCATCGGTTTCGCGAGTCCAGAAGAAGTCCAACGCTAAGAAGTCCGTCAACTTCCACAGACGATTCTCGTCCCAGAGCAGGAGCGGCAGGTCCCAGAGCAGGATTCATCGGTCCTCTTAGAGGGTTTGGATCCGGTGATCGGTTGGATCTGTTCGGCCCAAAAAGGGGGGAAGAGATCTCGGTGGACCGTTTGGTCCACGTTCCTGAACAGGTCCAAAACGTGACACGGCACATCGGTTTCACCACGTGGTGCTTTGGTGAGTCCGATGTGAAAAAGCCGGACCAGTTGGGAGGAACACCCTCCCGACCCAGTGGGGTTTTCACCCACCAGAGACAGAGTGCCCGTCTCCCATCCCGGATGGTTCAATTCGAGCGGTTTCTTGAGCGTGCCGAGTTTCTTTGCGTTGAGGTTTCACGATCCTTTCCGATGTGTGCGAAAACTCCATGGTCAAGAGCCTTCTGGTGCGCTCGGCGCCTGGCAAATTAGTCGACAGCGCCCTGAATGAAAACAACTGCCTCAACAAGCACCTTGTATATTACCCTTGACTCCAGCCTGAAGTGACTATACCCCTTCCACAATTTGACGTGCACATTGGGCATTTTAGCATAATATAATGCTTGAACCTCTCCAACCGCTGAACCGCGGCTTCGCATGGGTTTCCACCTCTGGACGTCCCCGTAGGACGGACGGCGGCTTCGGCACTGCGTGCGTTGGGGGAGCTCGGAGGGGATCGGTTCGCGACGGCAGAGGCAGCGTGAAGAGGTGGAGAAGAGGGGAGAAGAGTGGAGACGTTGGCGAACTGGGGGGGGGTGGAGTATTCGGAGTATTCTGCTTGTGGAATGAGACATGCTGCGTATGGGTTGGTATGGCACACAATCCTGCGTGACTGTGTTCCATGCACGTGAGACCATGAATCTTTTGGGGCGAAGAAAGGGCAAGCCAACGGATCATGGAAACCAACGGCTGGGAGTGTTTTCGGGTGAAGCACTTGAGCAGAAGTCACGAGACTAGAATCTACCTGAATGATCCCTGTTTTGGAAAAGTATGTCATGAAACGATAGCATCTTGCCATAGGACCCCGCATCCCTTGACCCACCACCGGAGTGTGTGCTCTCCCTGCTTCGGCCAGTCCCTCCAGGGGGGCCACCCGAACCGTTGCGATCGTTCGAACCAGCTGGGTCGAGTGCGATCGTTCGCTGGGTCGTTGAGACTAGGGGGCGACCGGGGTCCTCGCCGTACGGCCAAGCCAAAGCGGTTCGACTCCCGCGGAGGTCGGGTGGTGATTAGAGGGAACCAAGAGAGGTTAAGTGACCGTAAATAGGACCTACTGGGGTACCGAACTGGGATAGTCGGTTCTTCAACCTCTGTTGGAATGTTCCATATAGTGGTCTCTATAAAGCACCCCTTCCGTGGTTTGCCGATAGATCGGGGTGCTGAGTGGGAGATGACACCATGTAAAGAAAGATGAGAACCAAAAGGAAAATCAGGGTGTAAGACCACTCATAGGAAAATTCCCTGAAGGTTCCGTGCACGGGACGTGCACCGAAAAAAGAAAAAAGGGAACTGGATCAAGTCATCCAGACTGCACCTTCTGCTTGAGCTGAGGGGCGCAGAGGGATGTCTTGGGTTTCTTCTTCGTCAGAAAACTGCGCGTTTGGAGATGCGCGTGTAAACCGGAACATCTCCAGTGGCAAACAGGTCCAGAAAATCTTGGTGCCAGAGGGTTCCAACTCAGAGACCTGTGCTGAAAGAACTGATGTCAAAGAACTGATGGAGAGAAGCTCTTTCGAAAACGAAAGCTCTAGTTCTCACAAAGCTCCGGTGAGCCTCGCAGTAGGTGGTCGAAGAGGCTGGGCCAGGAAAGAATGCCCTGGTCGGTGGAGGGGGGCTCTCTAAATCTCAAGCAGTGACTACTAACACCTCTCCTGCCGTGCTCACCCCCAACAACTTCCGCGACAATTTGGCAACTCCTTTGCCAGGTCCACTGACACTTCATCTCACAGACGCCCTCCCTCCATCCCCGACATCGGACCCTTCGCAGTTTCGCCACCATCTGTCACGTACATCGGTCGGGGGGTGGGATTCGTCGGCGGAGTTCTTCATTCCGTCTTTCTTTCGAACCGGATCCCCACGTGATCCGGCCATGGGACTTCCCAAGAGCGTCCGCCCTTGCGCAACGTTTCCTCGAGATCGACTTGGGGCTTTTCATTTGGGCTGTTTTACTTGGAGACTCTAGACCTTCAGGTTGGGAGGCGAAGCAAGCGGCCGGCCCGTATATCGTAGCGCCCCGGACGTCCCTGCTCGATGCCTTGCTTGCAACATTTGCTGCAATTGAACGAGGATGAATTGGCCACACAGGCCAGCAATGGTGTTAATTGAGCAGCTGGCACAGACTTACTGGGCAGACCACCCATTCTGCGACTGTGCAGTCGCAAGCTTGCAGGCAGGCGTCATGCCGAATCGCCCTCGCAGGAAGCAGCTTGGGATGTCTGGGGGCCAACCGGGATTGAGCCCAGCACTTGTCGCCTTGCGTTGCTTCCTTGGCCGCGTTAAGGAAACCTCTTGAAATCTGAGCTTGAGCTATTCCTTTGTTGTGCTAGCGAGCTCATTTCACCAAGCGGGGAGTTTGCTTGGGTTGACTTTCGCCTGAGGCGTGATGATCCGGAATGGGGCACAGAGGATCTTACAGCGCGAGAGCCCCAGAGGGTTAACATGTACACATTTTTAACATGGACACATTTACTCCGTATGGGTCGATGCCACATGGACCCCATGCTGCTCTCATACACATGGGTTTGCTCAAGCGCCAACTCGAAATGAGGGCAGGAACCCCCAAACCAGATGGAATATTGAAAGTTGTTGACAAGTTGATTTGTTGCCCAACCGATGCGCACGGTGGAGTGACAAGGTTTTTAGTCCTGTACAGTCTTGTCTGACCCAATTCGATGACTCAGAGAGCACCAAGGTATGGACGGCCAAGCCAAGGTGGCTTGGAGCCGCCCCCACCCAAACACCCCTCCATGCCGTTGCGCCAAAAGGGTTGGAGCCTTCTACTGCAGACACGGCAGTCAATCAAAAAAAACGCGTCCTGTCGTGCCTTGCGATATTTTTCGTTGGTAGGAGGATAGAACGTATAGATAGATCAATAGAACATCCACATCCACCAGACATGGTCATCAGAACCTCCACAAACCCACCCCAGCTCCGGGCTCCGGAGCTGTCGCTTTGGAGGCTTGGAGTCTGCCAAGTTGCCGTTGGAACCCTGGATGCGTGAGGCGACGGGTCGAACCGGACGACTGCCATTGGTTCGGCTCAAAAAGCATGTTCGACCCAAAGAAACATGGGTACTTTTAAGAAAACCACTGAGGCTATCTCTGATGGTTTTCCAAATTACAGAAACAAAAACACTACAAAAAACAAAAGCAAAAAATGCAAATGCAAATCCAAAAAATATGCAGGCAAACAAAGAAACGGAATAACAAAAGAAAACAAAACGGACAAGAACGAAGAAAAGAAACGAAAAAACAGCGGAAAATGGTTTTCGTTTTTCCCCACCTGCCAGGTGAGGGTTGTTAGATTTTATCACAGTTGTTCTTCCTCCCCCTCCTCCTTCCTTCCTCCTTCCTCCTCGCCAATCTTCATCGCCAATCTTCTTCGCCAATCTGCTTCGCCAATCTGCTTCGCCGATCTTGTCTGGCAAGCTCCGGATCGCAGTGTGCACCCCTGGACCTCAACCGCAAGGATCCGATCGCAGTGTGCACCCCTGGACCTCAACCGCAAGGATCCCCTCGCAGTGTGCACACCTGGACCTCAAGCGCAAGGGTCCGATCGCAGTGTGCACCCCTGGACCTCAACCAGAATTTTTGACAGATAAAATGCCAGGTAGATTGCCAGATAGAATGCTGCAAGAAGATATGCCAGATAGTATGCCAAATAGTGTGTCAGATAGATTGCTAGATACATTGCCAGATAGAATGCCAGAAAATATGCCAGATAGAATGCCAGAAGATATGCCAGATAGAATGACAGATAGTATGCCAGACAAAATGCCAGATAGTATGCCAGACAGTATGCCAGATAGTATGTCAGATAGATTGCCAGATAGAATGGCAGATTGAATGTCATGGTGGGGATCACTCGAAGTAAAGTAATTTGGATTTTATAGTTGTTTGTTTCGTATGTTTTGTTTGTCTTTTGGATGTGCTGTTTGTTTATTGCATTTGTTGTTTTTGTTTTTGGGGATTTGTTTCTTTTTGTTTTTTGTGGTTTTCATTTGTTTTTGTTGTTTTGTTGATTTTGTGTTTTCATTTGATGTTTTTTTCTTGTTTTTGTTTTTGTTTTTGGTTTTTGTATTTTCAAGATTCACAGAGTTAGCCTGGGTCCGGCGACGATAAGGGTATTTTGGTGTTACCGTATTTGTGTTTTTGGGAAAGAGGTGGTGAGGTTCAAGACCTGCCAACGATCTGCGGAGAATGGCAAGCAGGTTTACACCATTACATGTGAAAGGCAAGATGACAAGAAGGAGGGGGAGAGAGAGAGATAGGGAGAGAGAGAGAGAGAGATGGGGAGAGATGTCACAGTTTGTGGGAAGGAAAGTGCAACCTTGGCATCCAAACCTACACATTCCAACAATGGAAAACGTAGCTCTCTGCCGTTTTAGTTCAAAAAAGACCGACAGGAAATCTCCCCAACCAGGTGCTCCTGAATTGCTGCTACGTGGAGATCCGGATCGAGGACTAGAGCCTTGGAATTGGCCTCTGAATTACGAATACCTCAAGTAGGACGCAGAAGTTTGAGGAGCCTCAGATTGGCCGCTACCGGTGGTGGTGTGTGAAACTGACAATGCAGACGAACCCGATGCTGGTGTGAAGTCGAGGGTGGAGTGAATCGAACGATGCACATCGCTTTTCGACTAGCTTCTTGTTTCTAATAGCTTCTTGTTACTACTAGTAAGGCACCTGTTACTACTAGCGTGGCACTTGTTACTACTAGCTTCTTGTTTCTAATAATTAGAATTCTTCACGCAGTGGTGGATTTGCTATGTGAACACCGGCCAGGGCCAAGAAACCAACAAATTGCCTTCTTCTTAACTACTAATCACATCCAATCACCGATCCCAAAAAACATCGAAACCGGCAACTGTGCTCCAAACTGTGTGGCATGACTCCTTCTCTCCCATCCAATCCTTTCTTCTGTCCTACCTTGCGCATGCTTCATTCCACGGAACGGAAGCGTAGGACACGGAGCAGAAGTTGCTCACCTTACGACGCGAAGCCCTGAAGCCTGTCAAGGCTGAGGTGCGGCGGACAGACGTGAAAAGCCACAGGTGATTTGGCGCGGGTGGAGGCCATCGCTCGTAGGTTAGGTAGAGGAGTGCCGCCCGCGTCTGGATGGCGAAGGTGGTGGGGAGCTGTGTGTACAGGGTCTTGATGCGAGGAAAAAGTTGGGGAAAATAGCCATTAGCCAATTGGAGGCTTTGTTAAGGCAAATCCAAGCTACCCTACACCACAGAGAAGGGGCATGCCTGAGTCCAGTGAGTAACCGGCACGATCAGCTTTATAAGCCTTGAGATGCCTTTGGTTTCCAGATGTTTCCAGTGGAACGAGCACCCAGACAACACAAGTACCACTGGGTAGCAACCACAAGTACCACATCTACTTCTCGCTGCCGAAATAGCCTCCCAACCCTTTTCCAAGGCTTCACTCGAAGTACCGCGGCGACAGGTTCAGAAGATGATGTCCAAAACCAAAGCCGAACGCTTCGAAGATCTGTTCGTGCGAACTCTGGACGCTTGGGCCTTCGATTGGGACCCGTGAGAATTTGTCACGTGGGGAATTTGTTGGAAACGACCTCCGCCCTGAAAGCCTTTCCTGTTGTTCTTGGTGCGAAAGAGTCGGTTTTTTGTTTGGCTCTCATGTTTGCAGCTCAGTTTTCACTGTGAAACAGTGCACGGTTCGATGTCGCTGGAAGATCCTGTCCGATCATCCGAAGACAGGCTCTCGACTCTCGACCGAAGAAACCACCGAGGAACAACGACACCAACCGCTCACCAGTGCGGCTGGGGTGCCGAGTGGGGTCCTGTGGGTCAGGGGCTCAAGTTGAGCCAAGCAACTTTCACCAGCACGACGGATTTCTGGTGGTTGGACGGAAGATAGATAGTGATTAGGTGTCCATCAACCACCTGATCTCCGTGGTGCTGGCAAATGTGTTGTCTTGGTCCAAAGGTCAAATACTCTTGTTGAATTTTGACGGGGGTCTTCACAAAGAGGTGCTCAAATGCTGCACATGCTTTCTTCCAATCAACACCTCCAAACCACGTGACCCGTCTTTTCCATGCCATACGGTCCCCATACCGTCCATACGTCGGGTGGAATCTGCGATCTCTGAGGGACATGTTGGGCAGAGGATTCGGTACACAGAAAACAGCGCACATAGTAGTAGCTCCTGGCCGTGCTACTCGGAGCAAGAAGCTAGTAACAAAGGGCATCGCTACTAGTAACAAGGGCATTACTACTAGTAACATGCTTGACCGTTGGTTTTTTCGTTTTCCAACGCTCCGGACGTGGGCCTGTTGTGCCGGTGGGTGAATTCGCAAACCGACGGCACACGAAAGGTCCGTGGGCCTTGCTGTTAGACCAGCACATGTGATGAAGGCATCCATGGTGCAACAGTAGTCGCCTTGCCATTCATTTGCAAGAGAGGGGATTGCCTCGGTTGAGCTGCACCGTTGCTCAAAGCCCTGACCTGACAGGAATTGGCATGGTGTTCGCAATGTTGATTGGCAAGTGTCCATACAAAAAACTTTGCTCACTCGCACCCACTTCTCGTAGGTGACTCGTGCACGCATCCATCAGCAAATTGATTTTTGACTAATGAATTGCAAATCTTAATCCAAAAAAGAAGGGTGTCCAAAAAGAATCCTGTCCTTCCACAAGAAAAGGAACGACTGCTACAGACTTGTGAAGGTTTGTGATTCGGTGTTTTTGTTCAGAATGGTTTCTCTATATCATTCTATATCTAAAGACTTCGCTCTTCGCTTGGTTCGCAAAATCTGGACTGATTCTTCCGACACGGTGAACGATGCATCGCACCGCCACCGGACCGAGATCGGCAGCACCTGTGGCTCCGACAAGGCGAGCCCGACGCCGCCCGAGCGCGGGCGCCCGGCCAGGAAGGCAGTGGGAAGGTGCGCCAGTGGTTGTGGTTTTAAGAGAGTGACCATGGATCTGAATCTTTGGGATTCAAAGAATTCTTTTTTGATTTGATTTAACTTCCTTGTTGAATGTCTTTTTTGGGTACAAAGAGGTTCAAAGAATGGAGAGATAATGAGGCACGTGATTTCCAGTGAGTGCTTGGTCTGTCTTTTTGATAGTCGTTCATGTTTGGCATGTTGGTCTTGTGACAGAGATGGGTTGCTGACCATGCATAACAACACCTGTGAGCCACTGTTCTCAACATCTGCCAAATTCCAATTTGCCCCAACAAAGCCGATTAGACTGGATCAGACCGGGAATAGCTGGGATCCGCTTTTGGAGTCCGTTCTGTTGGAGTCAATCGACCCAAACAGCGCTGGACACGTGCCAAGGCCACCGTCTCCGGGAGGTCTCTCCAGAGGTGAGGGGGACCGGAGATGGAATAATTAGCCCGTAAGCCCTAGTAGCGTCCTTGTTCCTAGTAGTAAGGCCAGGAGCCCCTAGTAGTCCTTGTTCCTAGTAGCGATGCCAGGAGCCCCTAGTAGCGTCCTTGTTCCTAGTAGCGATGCCAGGAGCCCCTAGTAGCGAATAAAGAGGAAGTTGGTCGACGAGTTGCGTAGAAATTGGTTTTGAAGAAGAAGAAGAAGAGGAAGAAGAGGAAGAAGAGGGAGGTCTGAAGAAAGGAAAAGGAAAATGTGCATAGTTCCGAATATTTTTTGGTGTTCATGAATTTGTGGGTGTTGTGACTGGATGGTGTCACGGGTTTGTCTCAAAATGTGGATGAAAGGCGACGAAGCAAGCTAGTGCCCCTAGTGCTTGGCTATGTGGAAGGATTTTGCTTCGGGCTACAGCGGCCAAAGAAGCGTGCTTGGTACACAGGGTCCTTGACCAGCTTCTATGTTGGTGTTGCTTCCAAACCAGCTGCTCTGACCTCCACATGGTCGGCGAAAGCATAACGGTCAAACATGGCAAGGAGAATGAGATCAACAACAGAGTCTGCCACTTGAACCTCCAAAGGCCTTTTCCTTCGATGCTCTGAAGAACGCTCTTGAAACTCAAAAAGAACTGGTGTCGCTCACTCCCTCGGCGTCGTTTAGAGTCTTAGAGGCCCCACATGGGTCATGTTCCTCGGTGTTGAGACATGTTTCGCGACAAAGACTCTCTCAGGTGTGTCGTCAAAAAGAAGGTCCTCTTCAAATGGATAAAACGAGTAGAAACTTCGACATGTGCATTTCCTCCAACTCGTTTCCACTCACAGCATGAATCTGGCTGCTAAAGTCACCATCCTTCCCATCCAATCGAAAAGTCCAACTTGGGGATCCCCCACCAGGCATCATTCACACCAAACCGGGCCGTGCTCCACCAAGCTTGGAAGCCTCTTTACAAAGCCTCAAAGCCTCCCTTTTGGTTCTTCATTCGTGATTCCATCGTCCCACCCCGTTCACCCACCGGTACCGGTCGTCCGCCAGCTTCGAGCGCGGCGCAGCTGCGCCAGCGGCCGCAGCGCGGGGAGTCCAACAGCTCCTTCGGCTCGGAGCATCCCAAGGACCCGTCGGGACCGAGAGGAAGAGGAGATCAGGAGCGATCGGACGCTACGAACGGAACAAGTGCATCGCTACGTTCGTAACAAGTGCCTTACTAGTAGTAACAAGGACACTAGTAGTAATAACAGGAAGACGAGAAGAGGTCTGGAGAAGAGGTCTGAAGTGCAGGTATTTTTTGGGGTTTCGGGTCGGGAACACGAAGGGTCGCAAGTTGAAAGAGTTGCTTCGTTGAGAGAGTTTCTGAGCATGTTGACTGGAGGTGGCCCAAAAAAGGGATGCCGGAGACCGGGAGATGATCTTTGACTAAACTGTGTGGACTGATATTCTTCTCCGCCTCCAAGGAGCCCGAGAAGACCGCCGATCCTGAGCAGGTGCAGCAGTGCAGCGAGACAGAAAACGGTGAAGAGGGCGGACGGGTGGACTGATGGCCTGGCCGAAGTGCCAAGCTGATCTCTTCATGTTGGGGTGGAGAAGATGGTAATGAACAGGTAAATTCAAGATGAGCAGATGTTTGGGGCTTTTCGTGGCGGACATTCGCGGAGCTCAGCATCTCTTCGCTGCACCAATCCCGACTTATGCTGATCCTCTTGAGAGAAATCCATGTTGTTCCACCGGCATCAATGAGAGAACTCCCACCATCCACCTTGTGCTGTAGGTGAAAGAAGAAGTGCGGCGCCTAGAAGAGGAGCGGTGAGCAGAAAGGGGCTGCTGGCGGGTCGGATGCGGGAAAAAAGAATTGGAAAACAAGAAGCTATCATCCATGACAACCTTGGAGCCATCGCTAGTAGGTTGGAGGCCATTACTATTTCATTAAAGGTCATCGCAGAGAAGGATTATAGAATTATAGATTGGTAGTTGAATATAGGTCGACCAACAATGATGGAATCAGGAAGGTGATGAACCTCAAACCCAGAGTTCACGAAGAAATGATATGATGAATGAGGTGTACTAAACAGGGAACCAGAGCCTCAGTCCTTCCATATCCTTCGATCATCTTCCCATCCCTTTCATGCCACGGAGTCCCGTGCGACGGAGGACTTGAGCAGCCTCCGTCGGCTTCTGCAAGACATGCGCAACAACGCTGCGGCGGCGGGGGGCCTAGCGGGGCCTAGCAGAACGGACGGACAGAAGGGGAAGAGGTCGACCGACCTCGGCCTTCTTTCGGATTTGGCAAGTGAGCGCTTTTCACTGTTGCGCATGTAGTGTTGACCAGTGTTGGAACAACTTTCTCAAGTCAGGTGAGGAAGAAGGGTTCAGGTTTAGGGGAGCCAAGGCAGATCTGTTGGTTGGTGACTGGCAACAAGAACGGGAGATTGTGGGTTGGTCTTTTCGAGAGGTCCCACATTGGGTTGGGAATAGAAAATTGGAAAACGATGAAAACCAGAGATGTCTTTAGGGGGGGTTGGAAATGTCAGCTTTCCAAAAGCTGCAGGTGATTTGCAACCACATGCGCCAAGCGGAGAAGTCCGCGAAGAAGTATTGGTCGCAGAAAGAGGCGAGGAAAGGTTGGGTGTGGAAAAAGACGCGGTGGGTCGTGCGTGTGTGCGTGCATGGGTGGGTGTGTCTCCTTCGGTTGCTATGAAGTTCACCAAAGTGTTGATGAAAACTTGACCAGGACCATGGTAGAACTTCATAGCAACAGCCCCTAGTAGCGTCCCTTGTTCCTAGTACCGATGCCAGGAGCCCCTAGTAGCTTCTTGCTCCTAGTAGCAAGGCCAGGAGCCCCCAGTAGCGTCCTTGTTATTAGTAGTACGACCAGGAGCCCCGTTCGTAGCATCCTTGCTACTACGAGTTGGTAGAAGGAAGCTCCTGAGGCCAAGCTTTTCCCCAATTCCGGTGGACCGAGATCACCGACGGACCGGTGCCAGGGCAACGCCTGGGGCTGCCGAATCCTGTCGCTCTTGGTGTCCGAAGACTTCGCGAAGCGGACGATGAAGGCGTTGCTTCGCCATGTCGGGTGGTTCGTAGGGGTGACTGAGGTGTTGGTGTTTGTTTAGCAAAAGACCAAGTGAAGTGCTACCTTCATTCATTGATCCCCAGTTAAAGCACAGATGGTACTATCATGTACGATCCAAGTTCAAGAGCTCAGTGGTGGTTTTTCGGGATTGGGCAAGGCGGGGTGTTTGCCTTTCCAGTCAGCAATCTAAAACCCCTCTACTGTTTTGGCTGCTTTGGGTTTGGGAAGCTAGTCACAATTGGAATGACAAAGTTGACACTCCACACGACCATTTCTTGGGACCATCTACAGTGGAGTTGGCTGGTTACCCCGGCACTGTCTCAGACCTTCATGGTGGGTTTTTTTTTCACCGTTTCCATCTCGGTCCGTCTCACCTGCCTTTTCATCTCGTCTCGTGGTCCGTTTGGTCCGTTTTCGCTCGTTGTCACCTGCCCGTTTGGTGACGCCATGCACCGCGAAGTGGCCAGGAATGGGAAAAGCTGGCTCCCACTGCCGGGAAGCTCGGACAGGTCAACGGAAGAAGCTCCCCCTTCGACTGGGTGCAGCCGAACACCAATCGGTCTGAGCGAATCAGCCTTCCCACCCTTCCAAAGACCTCGTTGGGTGAGAAGGATGCCCGGGCAGTGGCACGCTCCTGGCCTTACGAACGGAACAAGGACGCTACGAACGTCACAATGAGCATTTTGAGCAAGAAGCGCACGGTGGCCGCAGGTTGACCATCGCTCTAGCGACACGTTCGCACCTCCGGTGTCCGAAGCCCGAAGCGCTTTCTTTCCGCGTAGGTAGGAGTTGGTATAGCTCTTAGTTGGGCTGGGTATGTTCATCCCTGTTCCCACATGATTGACTTTCTAAAAAAGGGCGCCTCTCAGCGTTCTTCATTCGATGGCGAGCGACTCACTCGTGGCGAGCGACTCACCAGCGAACCCGGTCGATGAACGGCTGCACACTGCGTGGAGCGAACGGGCGTCAGGCCACGTTAACGCAGTGAGAGCGAGAGCGAACGAGGCCGTGTGGCGGTGTGTTGCAAGGCGCACGTGGTGTCCAAAAACCAAAACAAGCTTTTCCCGGTTTGGTTTATTGTGGTTTCTCAAGGATTCTTGCTGTAGAAGATGTTAGTTCAAAGTGAGGACATATATGGACATTGAAGCAAATCCATTCCGGGAATGACCATGTTGGTAAAGTATGTTCCAATGCGGCTCATAATTCTGTGGCTGCAGGTTTCACCCAGCGCTGCTTGAAAGAAGCACTTTTCGGAAAGGACGTGATACACCCTTCGGTCTCAACCTTCAAGCAGAGCTCGTGTGAGTTGCCACCGCGAACGTGGTGTTGGCCAGAAAAGGGACGGAGGCCGGGCCGGCGCAAACCTTCGCCTCCTAGAGTCCTAGGTTGGAGGCCATCGCCAGCAGGTTGGGTCTCTTTGTACTTTCAGCGAGGCCATCGCAGCTTTTCAGAGGACCTGAGAGGAGCCCCAAGAGGTGATAGGGAACCACCGAGTCCACCTGAGTCTGCCCCCTCTTCGCCCCCTCTTCGCTGAGTCTGCGTCTCGCGCATCCAAGCGGATGTGGGTGTTCTTCCCCAAGAAAACGTCCGCTCGGGTGAGCTTCGTTTTCGGAATCACTTCGAGCCCTCCTTGGATGAGCCAGTACTGTGATACCGTCGGAGAGATCTCGGAGATACGCTACGCAAGCTGCACAGACGCCGGAGACATCAGTGGCTCGAAAGCTCGAAGCTACGCAAGCTGCACAGACCCACAGACCAACCTTGTTTTCGTGTTTGGATGGCCCAACTTGGTCGCTTTGGTCCAATCTTTCACACACGAAGCTCCGGAGGAGAGGAAGCCTTTCTTCCTCTTCAGCTTCGACCGGAGCCGCTTCAGAACCACGGTGCATTGCTCGGGCCAGTCTTTCGAGCGCCATGGAGCCAAGTGAGGCCGTGCTTTTCAACGAAGACGGGGCGACCCTTGGGAGGGACAAGAGGAGACTCTTGGAGTTGGCTTTTTTGGGTGTTCAATCTAGGGCTCAAGGTATGATTCTTCCAGATTATGGTGGTTTGTGTGGGATTCTAGGAGGATGAACTGGGTGGATTTGGTGTGTTTCACAGGTGAAAAGAAAAAAACACTAGAGCCACACGGATACGAAGGGGATCGAAAAAGCCGGTTGAAACCGACGATGCCAACACCGAAGCCACCGGGACCTGCAGGTCCCCAGCGCCAGTGCCAGCAGCTCCATGCCAAGCGTCGGTGGGAGCATTGGTGCCGAGCGGTGCCGAGCGGTCCTTTTTTGTGGTCGACCGCCTTTGTTACTAGCGTTCTTGCTCCTAGTAGCGATGCCAGGAGCCCCTAGTAGCTTTTTGTTACCACTAGTAAGGCACTTGTTACTAGTAGCGATGCCCTTGTTCCTAGTAGCAAGGACGCTACTAGTAGC